ATCGTACACTTTTGTGACACAAATTTAGACATAATTTTGGCCAATGCTGTCTCAATCGACCATATACAACATTTTCTCTTTTCATTAGCTATACACATGTACTCGCTCTAAATAATTTTTTCAGAAGTGAAATGTTGTAAAATACTAAAAGGGGAAATTCGTACTCAGAAATGAAATGACGAAAAATACTAAAATGGGAAATTCGTAAAAGGATTTGTGTTATTATTTGTAACTTGAGAATTTCCCAATTCGTTAACTCTAGATTATATAACCGGACTTTTATCGTTATGTATGTATACTAAGGACTGTATTACACGTTTAAGATTCAAGTCATGAGTGACCGGAGTAATTTTCAAGATAACTTCTCGATTCATCCGAAAGTGTCACATTGAAACGCCATTAGCTGAAGATAGAAGATAATGATCGATAAATTATTACATTATTAAACTGCGCATGATATCTGATATCATTGCTTTCATTGCTGTTACTGTTTGAGACCAAACTTCTTGTGGCATATTCTTTTGTCATATTATTGTGGAATGTATCACTCGACATGTGAACATGAAAACAATTTTAGTTATTTCTTAAACACTCACTACAATCAACTCTCTTGATTGTGTGATTCTACATGTAGAAAACTAATAATTTATTAATTGCTAAAGTTAAGACATCTCTCTGGGTTACATGGACCATATCCACAAGAAACCTCTCTCTTATTCGTAAATTGATTGATTCTTCTGATAGGATATAAATAATAACTTGTATTTCAGAACTTGTACGTTTTATTTCTTTGCATTTTGAAAACAAAAATAAATTATTTGTCATAGTTTGTCAGCCATTAGCATATTTGATAAAATATACGAAATTTGACACTCCGACTATATGGTCAATGAACGAGAAACCGAATATTTTGATATCTAGAGATACATATGCCTAATTTCATTATCTTATTTCAATGCCAAGGTTTCAGATTTGTTTCTTAGTTATTTATACCACATGCACAGCAGAGAAAAGGCGGGAATTATGAATCAATTTATTATAGACGAGCATAATGGTAATTGACATAAGTAAATGCAGGTATACATTTATGCAAACATGTATGCACGCCCATATTTAATGGGTTTTTTTGAGAACCTTGTTGGATATTTTTGTGTCTATTGATAGTTGGCGCGGAATGGCGGTTTTTTTGGTGTTTGTGAATCACCGATTTATTCTGATAAATAATAATGCAAACAGGTGTCCTGGTTGGTTGACTAAGAATATACAATAAGTCATTATCATCGTAACTGTGTTATAATTTTATTCACATTACTTCCAAATCGAGAAATAAGTTTGTTCATAGTCATATCACTTTCATGCATTGTTCCCAGTCATTTACTTGTTTTAAGGAAAGCTAAACGGAGCAACAAGCACTACGACTAAATGTTACCAACAAGAAAAGACTTGGAACAATAGTTAAAAAACAAATATTACATAACTGACAACTAAATCACGGGTGACTTTTAAACATGCACTCCAAGTTTCAAGACTAAAAAAATGATTGTAATAACAATGGTTAACCTAATTTTCTCATCTAGCTATTAGTAATTTTCTCATCTAGTTATTAGTAATTTTTATTAGTAATTTAGGTACTTGACATAGAAGGCAACAATCAACGATTTGCTGCGTTTAGGCAAAAACTAAAACCCGAAAAAAGACAAATTTCAGTCAATTTCAATGAAATATTGAGCATCGATTGAAATTTTTGTTTTTGCATAAATTAGCATAATTTTAATAATTTTAGGTGAATTAAATAAAGGAAGCAACTTCAAGAAGAATAAATGCGTGCTAATAACCAAAATTAACGACCTATCCAAATTTCAAACAATGTTACGGGGTTGAACGAATTTTCACAGAATCAGAGGCAACACGTTTTTCAAGTACCGGTACGGAACCCGATAGATATTGTAATTTGGTTGCAGGTTCGATTGATGTTTGATTCAAAGAATTAGCATTACTTTGTGTAGAATTTTGTAAAATCGAATAAGAACAGTACGCGCGTTATATGTATACGCGTTTATCGACCGTCGATCATGCTGATTTTCTGCTAAGTAGATGAACAAAATTACATAATAAAAACATAAAACAAAGTTTCGCTGTATCAAACAAACTCACGTTATCGGTTACATCACGCGATGACTTTCCCCGTGGGGATGATATTCAGCAATGTGAAAATTTCCCCGGATTATCTACAGTATCTATCCATCGATTCCGCAAAAAATGATTCATATTACGTGTGTACGCATTTTCTCCTTACACAAACGCACCGACTTGCATACATACACACACACACACACACACACATAACTTCTGTTCCAAATTGTTTTCCCGTCATCGGTCGACTTATCGATTCATTAACCTAAAAAAGAAGAAAAGTAAAAGTCATAGCTGCATGAAAAACAAAGGATACCCCGCAGGTTTCAAGAGAACAATGGAACTTGCATGATAATTCTCGATACTTCGTGATTTAACATTGAAATCGTGTTTCTATACCTTCTTTGACGCATTGATGAAATAAAAAAGATGTCAGATAATGATGAATTTCTTTGACGCATTGACGCGATAAAAAAAGATGTCAGATAATGATGGATTTAAACGGATGGTATTGGTAGCATGTAAAGTTGGCTGGCTATTCTTGTGCATTGTAACATAATATCATGTAATCAACCTGTCATCTGTCATGTTCGAGTGTAAAATGGAATAAATGCTCTGGAATGAGTGAATGTAAATGTCAATGACAATGATAATAGAAGACACCCATTCTCGTCGACCACAAACCCTATGCGGGATCTTGAAACATGAACATAGAAACATTATCATGAATTTTTCTGCCTCTTTCATCTCTGCATTAATTCGAATAGAATGAAGAGGCGATATTTTCCGAATAATCACTCTTCTTATTCATTATCCTGAAACGGTATGCTTTTTTCGTTTTATTCGGACACCACCACCGACGCATTATCACATTTCAGCCAAATGCATACCGTAAGAAAAAACAATTAATAATGACGAAAAATATCTCACGCAATGACACGTCCATTTTATCTATTAAGTAAAAAAATAATCATATGTTATTGAACCGCCATTTCAAACAAAAAAAAATAGTCTCACATCAACGAAACCGGTTCCATTCGAGTATTTCATAATGAACGTAGCAGCTATTACGGATGAAGGTGGCCATTGTTCTCGGTTGCATTGCATCTTATCATTGTACGTCGTAAATATACTCTTTTACTCATACAATAAAAATATACGATGCGCAAATACACCATCATTAATGTCAATTTATATCGAAAAGCAATGCAATGTAATGTAATGTGGAATGTAAATAGGGATCAGACTAATTAAAATAGAGATACTAAACCGAGTAGCAATCAGTGTGTTCTGCTGCTGTCGTACGTGTGTATGGTTGTAATTGTAGGTCGATGTTTGTACGAGCATTTTACTTTTTTTCTTTCTTTCTCTCTCTCTTTCTTTCTCGGTTCACCAAAACAACTTGCATGTCTATGCACGAGAACAATAACCTCAGAACAATGAGAGAGGAGCGAAATTCTTATGAAATGCCTTTTCAGCACTCTCATTGAAATGTAGTGTGACGACAATTTTGTTTGTTGACTCAGAGGTGGTCCAACGTTATGTAATTATTTGTTAGTCCCGTGCCTTTTTAAGAGAGAATGGCGTTAGTATTAGTTAAAGGGCGTTAGTATTAGGTAAAGAGCATTAGTAAAATCAAAATTCGCTTAAGCACGTAGTTTCTTTAGTGTATAATTTTGGTGAGGTAGATATTTATTTTTGTGGAACTGGTGATTTGTACGATAATATGATATCGATATCGATATGTGAACTTGTTTATTTCCGTAGAACTAAATGATTTTGTAGAACTAATGATTTATACTATAATATCGATATGATATGAACTTATTTATTTTCGTAGAACTAAGGATTTGTACGATAATATGATACGAGAACTAACTGCCAAGTAAAAATCATCATGCTAAAGCGAGATACATGTACCTTAACTCTCAGCATGTCCCAAGTAATAAGAATTCGAACATTACTTTCAAAACGACATAAATATTTATAATTTTCTTTTACTTATTATTTCTACTTATCAAATTTCAATTATTCGACTCGAATATGTATATCGATATCGATATTGCATTTTCTCAAGATAGGATCGTCCACCAGACGATCCGAAGATCTCTATAACCTCTTTATAACGAACCTTAAATTTAGATGTTATATTATTTCGTTATATAGAGTATAGAAAACATAGTCTGTATTGAATGGATCGGAAAATTATCTCACGTGACATCACGGATTTAAATTAATTTAGACTGGATCTGAATCCGGCAAGTTTTTGACTAACCGGAAGTATTTTTTGTTCATGTTATGACCAAATTAAATGAGCTTATTAAGTTATTGCTTTATTCTTGTATAATCAACAATCGATATTTATTTTATACAAATAAGTATTTATAATAAGCAAAGATTTACACGAAAGTACATATTGTATTTAAGGTTTTTCTTTAACAAGAGATAAAAAAGGAAAAAAAAAGAGTAATAAATGACTTAGAGCTGGTAAATCATAAAAATAGGGGGAAGACTTAGGAGTAAGAATAATGATTATGTATTGATTGAGATTTTTCGGTTATGTACCTTTAAAAAATTCCATGTGTGTGTATTTTATGGATTTTATTTTATATGTATTTATATATGTATGTATATTTTTGTGTATTTTATATGTGTGTATGCGTGTTTGTTTTTACTTGAATCACAATTGTTCATTTAGTAATCTAAATCGGTCCAACAAATAAGTATCGTATAGATCAATTTGCGCCAGTTCATCATCAATTTCCCATTCTCATTCTTCGACTGCTTCGTTCTCACCTCCACATCTCAACAGCGAATATCGATGATGAGTTCAAGCTTGCCAGAAAAAACGCACCAGTCACAATTTATTATTCTACGACCCCATCAATTTCAATCTCAATTCCCGTTTCTTCCACCTCGGAAATGAATTGATCCAATACGTCGTACGCTTCTTTACCCAACTTTAAATACTTGACATTTTCGTAAATCTGCTGGAAATTTTCCAATGACATTTCATCCAGCCACGATTCATCGTCATGATGGTACAACCAGTGTAAGATAGGTTCAAATACTTCTGGGTGAGGAACTGTTATCATAACGTCATTATCGTTGTTTAATGATGATAACGAGTTTGTGTTGTTGATTGGGCCAAGCAATTGATTAAAGAATCCCGATTGAGTGGCGAGTATTAATGTGTGTGAGAAATATGTTTGGTACCGAAGACTGCCGGTTGTTGCTGATTTATTATATACATTGTGTTGATGGAGATTATTGTTGTTATGATATTGATGCACGGGATATTCATCAATTACAGATTCTTCTTCACTCATCATCGTATCAGAATCATCGCTATAGTCACCATAATCCGACCCTTCGGATCCAAATCCAGATTCGGAAACCATTGCATCGTTTATGAGTCCAAGATGATTCATCATTTGACGAAACCCAACGTTATTATTGTGACTGTAATTTCCATTGTATGTCGTCCCGACGACATGTAATGAAAGATCAGCAGAATACAAGTTTTTCCAGTGCTGAGGTCCGATGTTATCCAAATTGTCCAGAAAATATCTGGTTGGAATAAATTCCCCACTGTGGGGATCATGATAGTATTCAGGTACCTGGTCTGTAATTTTGTAGGTTGGAATAACTACACGTTTGTGATTCGCTGCTGGTAATCCCATTTTTTGATTTGATAGATTGACAGTGAAATTTGTTCGAAAGTTTTCCTTTTACTTTGGATATCTTGATTTCTTGTTGTATGCCAACTAATTGATAAAGACACTGAAGCTTCTTCGTTATGCGTTTTTTTGATTGTTGATTATGCGATTTTCAGTCCTTCACAGTAGGATAAAATGTGAAATTTTGAAAGGATAATGAACAAAGATAATTGTAACAATGGAAGAATAAACAAAAAAACAACGACTAAATCAAAACGTAGATGTTGAATGATCCAAAAAAATCAACTCTAATATAAAGAAATATATGTATATATATATGTAGATATATATATTTTAATTAAATAATGGAACAAATAATAGTGAGAAAACTTTATTTTCTTTCGTTTCGTGACAGTAGTTGTCGCTGGAGAAGCAAAAGAAAAAAAAAACGAAGGGTGGAAAGCCTGTCTTATATTTGTGCGTTTGTAGAATAAGGTTAATGTTTTTATAATAGTAATATATATATATATTGAATTCCAGATTTGTTAAAGAATTAAAAGTATGATTTTTATATTGCGGTAGTATATATATATATTATATATATATATAATTTTTATTATTCACTGAGAGTAATAACGATGTTATATACAAAATTAGTAAAGAAAGAACGGAAGGGTGATGATAGTAAAAATGTGTATATAAAAAAAGAAAAAAGCGTTTATTTTATATTAATAATTAAATATATATGTGATTAATTGAAGGGTATACAGGGACAGAAACGGTATGTTTTGCAGCAACTACGGCTTAATTCAACCAACCACAAATCATAGTCCCTTTCATTCAAAAAGGGAAAATAAGGGAATTTGTTATGCTGGCACAAATTTTATTTTTCATTATTTCTCATTTATGGCAAAATAACATTTTACATCGACATACTGTAATTTCACCGAAAATATTGAACAAGCAATATAACGATAAAGTTTAGGGGGGTTTTTTAAGAATACGCCGCCAGTCATCATCTTATCAATGTGAAATGGATGTTTCAAAATCTGTCTGGAGTATTAATTATTTGGTGGCTAAACAAAAAAAATCCCGTGCGTATTTTGAAATATTTTGAAATTTTGACGAAATACATGTATTTAGTCATCGGATGTTTGCTAGTGATAACTCTTAATAGAAAATCCATATATGTTAAACTCGGAGTTAATTAAACTCGAGTACTGTTTCTATGCTATTTATTCCCCATATCCATCTCGTTCATTATTTTGCTTAAAATTTCGTTATGTGAAAACCTGGAGTATACCGTTTTCATCAGACTTTCTATCTTGAGATTTTGTTATTTACAGATATTCTGGATATTTTTCTCGGAAAAGAAAACAACAAAGATTAAAGCCTACATGTATCTGGAGAAACAATAAAGTTTGGAAGGAACGATAAAAAAACAAGAGCAACAAGAGTAAGAAAAGAAGAACATGCAACCACCATTGTCTTGATGAAACTCTTTGTGGGGCAGGCAGAACGGAAGTGAGTAAACTCGCTGTTCATGCGTATATATTCTTGATAGACAAATCGGATGGCATGTGACAGATTCTGTTTAGAATTGCATTATGTTTTAAATATGGTAATTCCGCTCGGCGCTATGAAATTTCGAATATTAGAAGTCATTTTGCATCTAATTTAGTAGCTACATTTATTATTAATTTTAATCAACTTCGTACGTACGTATATACTGAAATCCGTCCATGTGTATCAGGGGGTTTCGAACTTTATTTTATTACATCTGAATACTAATAAGCATCCGGTGTAATTTATGATGAATAATCTATTATTGAGCGCAGTCAACGATAATAATTATAACATAATAATTATAACATAATAATTATGACAATCGTTATATCGAGGAAATTTTATTAGAGATTTTAATTAGTCATCGTTATCACGAGTATCGGTATATCGAGTTTTGACTGTATATTCAATCTTGAATCCAGTATTTGTTGTTTGGCAAATGTATGTATATGTATCTGTGGAAGCCTTCATCGTGTGTGTTTGCTATTTTTGCCATTTGATTATATAAAATGTCAAAAAACTGCCTATTTAAATTTTTACGACGCGCGTTGCATAGACAAGATGGCACGCGTATATATAGTTCAATCATACAAGTATATAATTATATAATTATTAGGCCCAAGCCCAAATTATTTTTTGGTTTTTCTTATTATTTTTTGATTTTTTTTGCATAATATGCAAGTCCTTAAGTACCCAAACTATTTGATATTTCGCCCAAGATCTAGATATTACGTCAGACAATCACGATCAAGCCTTTTTCGTCCTAAATTCCTTAATCGTCCTAAACTATTAAACCCGAATCACTAAATAGAATAATATTTGGAATTCAAAAATGTTGTAATTTGCTGATACGTAGTACGTTCTAATTAAAAATACACTACACACAAATCAGTCCATACACCCTGAAAATGACCAAAAATGATTTATAAAAATACGAAGAAGCCATCCAAATCTCAGTCAATATCGATGTTTATATATAAAAACATTTATAAACCTGTTAGTAATTCTATTTGCACAATTTCCACATGGAATGACATCCACCAACAATATCATCAATTTCTTGCACTACAAATTGCTAGACTGATCCTTTCTTATGGTGACAAGCACATGCCAAAGAATATTCGAGTTATTATAATAACTTAATCAAACTATTTGATCTAATAAATTTTTTCTTAAAAAATATATTATTAAACCTTAAAACTTCTGGTGCATGTTAAAAACACAGTAAAGCAAAAAGCCTCATTATTTATGTCAAGTACTGTAAATACTCCAATCTGATACTATTTCTCCAATTTTGATTTATAATTTAAACCTGGAAGGAACCGAGCTGGTACCATTTGAACTGGTCATTTGAACGGTTCTGCTGAACTCAGTTTGCTACTAGAGTCCGGCTCCATATTCTTGCACTACCATAAAAAACTTTCTCATAAAGACCTTTTAGACAGGCTCAAATTTCCATCCTTTATGACTCTAAGTTTTAAAAGGATTTTTGATGATAATCGCCTTTCTTAACGAAGTTTTACCTATTAATGTGAGATATTTGCAGGACTCTCAGCCGTCTAGCATACATTATGTTTCGGATCCAGCAGCAGGAATGCAATACCTCACTGCTGAACATGTTGGAAACTTGATCGGTGAAAAAGCAATCTGTTGAAATGCAACGACAGTCAAAAGAATGATTTTTATATAGGCCTAATGTTTGATATTGATAATTAAGGTAAAGGCCGAACACGTGCATACATCATAGTGCAAGTAGCTAAGCTGGTAAGTTTGCGATAAACACTGACTTTTTTGATATTATTGTTAGATTACTACCTGAAAGTTGAAAATCCAGAGAAACACTCAAGTAAAAGGACAAGCAGAGTATGGAATTATGATTTGAAACCAAACATACCATTGCAATTTGTGACTTCCATTTGAACAAAGAATGTGTGATATAGTCTATTCTTCTGTTAATTCGATTTTCTATTTGAATAGTAGTATATCCCCAAAAAGTATCGCCCAGTCCAAAAATTATATAATAAAAAAAATGGAAATTTTCTCATTTTAAAGCTAATTGATTGTATTTGAAAACATAATACAAGATTTGTGGCAACTTATAATGCAATGACTGTTTTTTCTCACGTGTTATATATGAAATGGAATATATAAGGTAAAAGGGAATATTTTGACGAAGTTAAAATCGTGATTAGGAGAACTTTTTACAGATAGTATAATAACTAGTGATCAGAATCACATGAAAATATCACTATTTGATTCATTATGTTTAAACAAACTGAATAATGATATTTTAATTACTGGATATCAAGATATCATCTTGAAAATCACCATATATTAGATCTTTGTCTCATATATTAAATTTTTGTCAATTTATAAATTTTGACATACAGTAATTTTCAAAAATAATATCGCAATATTTTGTGATCAAAATTATATGAAATATTACTATTTGATTCATTTAGATATATATAATAAATTGAATAATGATATTTTTATATGATTTCAATTATAAGCTATCAAAATATTGCTCTTTAAATTGGCAAAAATCTGATATATAATAACTTTTAGTACAATATCTTGATAACTAACAATTGAAATTGCATGAAAATATTATTATTCAATTTATTTAGACATGATAAATTGAATAATGATATTTTTATACAATTAAAATTATTAATTATTACTTTATCACAATATTTCTTTTTATTACAATATTATAATATTATCTTTATCTTATATTTGAAAAATAAACAAGTTATAAAACTTTTCAAATATTTTTTTATTCTTTTTAATAGCTATTTCTCTTATATTAGAATATTTTATTATTGGATTTTTCTTTTATTTTTTAATGAAATTGATGTATTTTTTGTTAAAGTTAATAAAAATAAGCTTGAATTTTTTGTTTATTTAAATCAAATTATTTTTTTTAATTACTTTACAAATATTTCTCTTATTATAATTAATATATTTTCATGAATTATTTTTCTATAAAATATTTTGAAAAAATCAAAAATTATCTTGAAATTTTTTTCAAATATTTTTTAATAATAATAATAAATTAAAATATTTATTAATTAGATGAATTTTATATAGAAAAAAAATATATATAAAAATATTCTTATCTAGTTTTGGCTTTAATTCAAACTTGAATTTTTAATATACTAAAAAATTGATTACTTTTAAATTATATATATATAAATATAAAATATATTAAAAAATACTAATTTTTCATAATATTATATCAAATTTTAAATTATTTTAAAAAATAATAATAGATTAATATAAAAAACTGATATTTAATTTTATTAATATAATTCTTAAATAAAATTATATACTAAAATCATAATATAAAAAATAAAAATAAAAATATTACCAAATATTATGAATAATTTATCAAATTATTATAATATATTAATTCAAAAATAATATTATTTAGTCAAGCAAAGAGTTAATTTATT